CGCCAAATGATTACAAAGCCATTCGGCTCGACAGAACCCTGTGTAACCCCTCCTGAAATGTCATCTTCCCAACACCTCCGTCCACCACCTACCACGGCTGCACTCGAATCACCACCCCATTCTGACCGTGATCGGAAATCAAGGATTTAATCTTTCCTCTCCTCGCCCTTTCCGTTTTGAAGGAGCATGGCTAACGCATGATTCTTATGGTGATTTTTTACAGGACAAATGTGATTCTCAGGTGCCGCTTCAAGAAGCTTTGCGGAAAATGGTTGAGGAACTTGCTGAGTGGAACAAAAACACCGTCGGCAATGTCTTACAGAAGAAGAAGAAGAAGAAGAAGAAGAAGAAGAGGCTCTTTAGCCGTATTAATGGGATTCAAACCAGAATAGCCAATGAGTTCTCTCCTGGCCTTTTCAAGCTCCAAGCAAAACTGGAGAGTGAGCTTGATGAAGTCCTAGAGCAGGAGGAGATCATCTGGTACCAGAGAGCAAGAGAGAAATAGGTGCAATTTGGTGAACGCAACACTGCGTACTTTCATCAGCAAGCCCTTATCCGAAGACGAAGAAACAAAATCGCAAGCCGGAAAGCCAGCGATGGAGAGTGGGTGTCAGACCCGCAGGAGCTGGCGGGTTTGGTTTTCGATTTCTTTGCCTCTCTTTACTTGCAGGATGTCCAAGAGTACACGGATGACATGCCAAAGCAGGCGTTCCTGAGGATTCTCCAGGAAGACTTTCTGGCTCTCCTGCGGCCCTTTACGGCTGCAGATATCTACCAAGATGTGCAGGATATGAAGCAGTATCAAGCTCCAGGAACGGATGGTTTTCAAGCGGTCTTTTATCAGAAATCGTGGCAGGTGGTCGGTAAATCTCTTATTGACATGGCTATGAGGTTTTTCTCGGCTGGGATGCTGCTAGAGGAAGTGGTGGAGTCGACGGTGGTGCTCATTCCTAAGGTGGATCACCCGGAGATGGCCTCGCAGCTTCGCCCGATTTCCCTCAACAATGTCTGCCTGAAAGCTATCATCAAGGCCATCACTAATCGGCTTAAACCCATCATGAGAAAGTTGGTGTCCCCGAGACAAAGCAGCTTCATTCCTGGGCGCCAGACCACAGATAACATTATTGTTTTGCAGGAGGTGCTTCATTCTTTGAGGAAGAAGAAGGGTAAGAAAGGAGGGATTGTTCTAAAGATTAATCTTGAGAAGACCTACAACCGTCTGCGATGGGAGTTTCTTAGAGATACTCTCAAGGAGGTGGGCCTGCCTAGCTCATGGATCAATTGTATCATGTTTTGTGTTGAGCATAACATGATGAGACTGCTTTGGAATGACGAGCTTTCAACTCCAATCACGCCCACTAGAGGAGTCCGGCAGGGAGACCCTCTTTCGTCGTACCTTTTTGTCTCATGTATGGAAAGATTGTCACATAGGATTGATCAAGCCATTCAGGATAAACTCTGGAAACCCCTAAGGTTATCCAAAGAGGGCCCTATGCTATCTCACCTTTTCTTTGCAGATGATCTTATTCTTTTTGCAGAAGCAGAAAGCTCGCAAGATAGGATCATCAAGCAATGTCTCGATGAATTTTTCCAGAGCTCAGGGCAAAGAGTCAACTACAACAAATCTGCCATGTTTGTCTCGGCTAACATCGACAGGAGGACGGCGCACCGGCTTTCTTCAAGAGCTCAGATTCCACTCACAGTAGACCTGGGCCGGTATCTTGGAGTTATGGCGATCCACGATCGAGTTACGATGGATAGATATCGAGAACTGGTGCTGAGAATAAAGAAGAAACTCGCACCCTGGAAAGCTAGACATCTCTCTCTGGCAGCTCGAATCACGGTGGTGAAATCTATCTCTGCTTCCATTCCTATTTACCCTATGCAAACAGAGCTTCTCCCTATGAATGTTTGCAGGTCACTTGATAGGATTAATAGAGGTTTCATCTGGGGAGACACAGAAGTCAAGAGGAATCTCCATTTGGTGGGATGGCCTCAGCTTCTCCTGCCAAAGAGTAATGGAGGCCTTGGTATCCGGTCAAGTAGAGAAGTGAACCTGTCCATGCTAGCTAAAGGTTGTTGGCGCATCATACAGGAGAAAGAAAACCTTTGGGTACAGATGGTTCGCGCTAAATATGGGGGAAACCTGCAGCACCTGGATATTCTTAAGCTTGTTTAGGGAAGTTCCTTTACCTGGGCTAGCTTTACCAAAGCAGTTGATTTACTTAAACATGGTTGCGCCTGGAATATTCATTGGGGTAATCAGACTAAGTTTTGGTCGGATAATTGGATTTTGCAGGGACCACTCCACGAGGTGGCGACAAAGATGATTTCGGAGGAAGACCTTCAGTTGCTGGTGTCAGAGTTTGCTTATTAGGAAGGAAATGGGAAAGTAGAGAAGTTTGGCTCATTACTCCCGCAGGAGATTCAGCACAGGATAACAGCCCACGCTGTTGATCCCTTGGCTACGGAGGAGGAACACTTATTCTGGACCCCAACGGCGGATGGCCGTTTTACTATGAAGAATGCTTACCAGATTCTTCAGGCAGCTCCCGTAAACACACAACAGAATTGGTGGAAAGCCATTTGGCATCTCACTGTGCCCGAGCGGGTTAGATGCTTTATCTGGTTGCTTGCGCAGGGTAAGGTGAGCTCGAACGAACTCAGAGCCCATAGACGGATAACCCAAGAAGACTCTTGCTACAGATGCTCTTCCCAGACTAAGAGCCTCTCTCATATTTTTCACAACTGACCGCCTGCATCCTTCTTCTGGCATCGAATAGTTCCCTCGGCGGCCCATCACGATTTCTTCAGCCTCCCTTGGGAATAATGGTTACTCCGCAACCTGACCAGCAAGGAGACAACATCTACAGAACTCCCCTAGGACGCCTTCTTCGGGATTGCTCTTTGGTGTTTGTGGAAAAACAGGAATGAAGGAGTCTTCAAAAGTATTAACAAGACCCTGTCGGCACCTTCTCTTATGTAGTCAATCAAGATTAAGGCAGAAATTTGGATTCGGGCTTGGAATACTCCGATGCCGCTTGGTGGAAGGGGAAACCCGGCGCCGAACCGGGTGATGACAGACATCGGATGGCAGCCGCCACCTGCAGGTTGGACGAAAGTCAATATTGATGGGGCAGCAGGAGGGTCTCAGGGCCTGGCCGGGGCTGGAGGAGTAATTCGAGACTCCAATAACTGATGGCTAGGAGGCTTTGTTTCAAGCTTGGGGTCTTGTTCGGCTACTCTAGCCGAGCTGTGGGCTATTTATCATGGTTTGAGGCTCGTTTGGAACAAAGGCTATAGGCCATCATCATCGAGTGAGATTCGCAATTGGCTATTCAACTTGTGAAGAACAGGACAGACCCTCTGCACCCTTTTGTTGCTCTCCTTTCGGCCATCAGGAGGAAGATTTCTCTTGATTGGGTGGTGAACCTAGTTCATACCTACCGAGAGGGGAATAGAGTCGCGGACTAACTCTCAAAGCACAGTCTCGTCTATCCCTACGGTATGTATGAATTGGAGGATCCGCCGCAAGAGGTCCTTCCCATCTTACAAGATGATCAGCGAGGAATCACTTTTACTGGAAACATAGTGATCACTTCACCCATCTCACCCATCTGATTTATTTCCCCCCCCCCCCCCCCCCCTCGTTCCTTCTTCTTTGGCCTTGTGCCTCCTGTAAAGCAAAGAAGAAAAAAAAAAGGAAATGGAATTAAATTTGGGTTTTCGGTTGTCCTCTAAACAATATATAGAGGTTCTCTTTGAGAACCCACCCAATTTAATTTTTCCTAGCTTCTGCGAATAGCAAGGAAGAATTGTTTGGTCATTTAGTGGCTAAAAACGCTTCACTTATATTAAATATTAATTAAAAAAATGGAACTCCAACTAAAAAGAAAGGCCACTTAGTAATTAAAAAATACGGAAGCCCGCTTATTAATTAAGAAAACAGGTCTTCAACTAAAAAGAAGGACATCACTTTTTAACTAATCTGTTATGTTGTATATGCTCTTATTTATACCATAACGTTATATATTATCTCATTTATTATACTTTATAAAATTTGTACCATAATATTAAAAGTATAAGCTTAGTTAGTATCGTAAAGTAAATTTATTATACTTTATAACATAATATTAAAGGTACACGTTCAGTTTGAATCTTAATTTAATTTGTATGAAAAGATATAGATACAAACTAATGTACCATAACTTTTAAAGTACAACTTCAGTTTGTAATATAAAAAAATGTGTACAAAAATGTGTAGACACAAACTGAATCTGATTATAATGTAAGGTACAAGTTATATTTGTACCATAAAGAATTTTTTTTGAAAGTGAAAGCACCAATAATATGAAGCATTATAAATTTATCTATATATCTATTTTTTTTTTTGACAATATCTATATATCTATTAAAAAGTATTATTAGCAGTTGTATTTGATTGTGTCCATTTATGCAATGTAAGATTATTGTTAGTTATTAACATATATGGTGTATAATTCAAGATGCATAACCACTCCTTTATAGTTTATAATTAATCATTTTTCATTTTTATAATTTAAATTACAAAATTTTAACTAAAATATTAAATTTATTATATTACATAAAATTATATCCAGTTTGAAATATTTTGAAATAAAAAAATGTTTGTAGCATTCGATAGCATCATATATAATAACATTCATGACCTATCAATTCTTCTATAATGGTACCTAATATCTACGATAACTACTAATCGTATTTCCATTATCATTTTTGTTAGATTTTTATGAAAATGGGTCTCACCTTACTAACTGAACTTTGACTAATCTTCTTATAGTCAAATCAGAATGATCATGCTACTCCCCACTTAATTCATGATCTACAAATAAAAAATAAAACCACTATAGATAGAAGATGACATTCGTGGCAGGTTTAAGTATTCCCATTATCGACCACTAAACTTTCCTAAGTCATTTTTACAATTTGGTGTATATATATAAAAGAATTGAGAATAGTCAACGTCTACTGGTTATTCATTAAGTTTTCAATCTATAGATTATCAAATTTTGTGTTGGTTGCAAGGTTGTTTATCACATGAAATCCAAAAATGAAATTTGCAATCATTCTTGACACCTAAGATCAAATAGTGTGGTCGCCTTATTAAATTTTTATGAGTAAATTTCCTTGCATGATTTATGTTTTTTATTTTTAGTAATGATAGTCAATAAATCGGGTTAGCATGTTGAAAATTATACGAGTATGATTCCAGCAACTAAATCATTCAAAATTTTTATGGTATTAAATAAAACATGTCTTGATGTGGACAATTACTAAAATTAATACTACTAATAAAATTCATCGGACCAATGGACGGGCCCTAATCTAGTTTTAGTTAAGGAATTTTCCCCGGTTTTGGATTAGAGAAATGGAATTAGATGTGAGTTAATATATATTTAAAATAATATTTTTATTTAAATATTAATAATCAAGCACTAATAATTCGTAATAGATTTTTGAAGAAAAAAAAAAGAATCACGGGCGCCGTTCGACACCGGGTTTCGGAGCGACTGCCGCCGTACGAAGCGGCCGCTCGAAGAGACCCCCATCATACGAAGTCGGATTTCGGCCATGTTCCCGTTGTACGAAGCAGAAGTTCGTACCCAGCCCCACCTTCCGAAGCCCGCTTTCGGACCCAGCCCCGTCGTCCGAAACTTGCTTTCGGACCGTCTCCTGTGTTACGAATCCGATGTTCGTACCCTTCTGTCCGACGGCGGTAACCAACACCGCGAAATAGGCTCCGCGTTTCTTGTCTTCGGCGACGATCTCTATTTCCGGCGACCTCTACCTCTGGTGAGCAGCAGCAGCTTTAGCCGTAGAGGAGGCAGAGAGCAGCGAGGGAGCGGGTTATGAGAGGGAATCAGGTTTTGGGAGGGAGGGGGAGGACTGGCTCCGCCTTTTGGGCCGGCGATGTCTTTTCCGGTGAGCAGTAGTAGCTTTCAGCAGCAGAGGATGCAGAGAGCGGCGGGGAAAGCGGATTTTGGGGGTTAGGATTAGGGTTTAAACCATGAGAGTAAATTTGTCTACGTTCATAAATAGGTGGGTGGCCAATAGTAAATATGTGGGCGGCAAATAGAATTCTCAAAACTCTCCAGAAACCCTCTTCCCAAGTTAGTTCCCCCGCCGCCAGCACCCTCACCAGCAAATAACTCCCCACCGCCATCATTTTCCCCAACCGCCCATCCTATTTTAATTCTCACCGCAAGCCGAGAGGAGAACGAGAAAAGCAACAGCCTACGAGAGCATCCACCAACGAGTTAAAGTATCTGCATTTGAGAGGTGAGTGTAAAAGGGGTAAATTCTACGTCTTACGTACTTTTCTAATATTTGCCTTATGTGTTTAAGAAGTTGTTTTATGTGAAATTGTGTGCTTGATTATGTTTATTATTGATTATTTGTGTTTTTTTTTAGCTATGATTTGATGTGATTTTTTGTTATTTACCTTAAAGCTTTACGCTAATTATGCGTGATTGTTAAAGTTTAAGAAGAAACAAGTTTTTTTTTTAAGTATTTCACTTTAAAGAAGGTGAAACCGTTTTAAGAGTTAATAGTCACTAGCGCCAGTCCGTTGCCATTTGAGATTTTGAGATAGAGCAGCAGTTATGCTCTTGAGACTTTTAAGATGAGCATCAGTTATGCTCTTGAGATACTTTGAGATGAGCAGCAGTTATGCTCTTGAGAATCGTGGAAGAAGAGCCTTCCACGATAAGTTTAAGAAAAGCCTGGATGGGCTCTCATATGTATGAGTTGGCAACCGAACTAGCTAGTGAGGGATCCCCGTGTGAGTCAAAAGATTTAAGTCAAGATTTGAGTTTTAAGAAGGGAGAGTAATTTTAACTCCCGAAGAATTTTAAGAGTTAAGATTTTTAAGAATGGAAGTACAAAACAATTTCCACTTGTCGAAGTTAAGTATTTAGAGAAGAATACTAAAGTACTATAAATTTTAACGTAAGGGCGTAGACTGACCCCAACTCACTCACCAGATCGTAGGGGAGGAAATCATAACCAGACAGTCCGTGACCAGCAAGCTAGTGGAGCTCAACACCATCGTCGCTGAGGGATGTCGAGCCAGGCGTCAGAGTAAGCATTGGAGAACTCCTTAAGTTATTGAGACTTTATGGTTATGAGTTTAAGACATGAGATTTATTTCTTTTGTTTCTTTTAAGAGTAAGGTTAAAGTTTTGCCCATGTGTTTAGGGCTTCGCATTGAGGTATTAAGATATTTGAGATTGGTATTTTATTTAAAGTTGTGTTATTTGAGATTTTTTTTTAAATATACCCCGAGGTAGAAATGTCTTTTTCCAAGTTCAAAGTAGTGGGATGTTTCACGTTTAGGTCTTTCGATGATTTGGGTCGGTTTGGTAGAATTTGGGACGTTTAAGTGCCGAAAAGTAATTTACCAAGCCACCGAAGTAAGTAGGGATTAGCAAAGGTTTGGGTATCAAATCGAAATAAGCCTTTTTGGACGGAATTGTTAAGATTTGAAAGTGGGTTGGGGCTGCTGGATAGAATTGAGCAATTCAGGAAAATTCGGGCCGAATTGGAAAGACCCAGAAAATTTGGGTACCATTTTGTAATTTTCCATTTTGGGACAAAAAGGTAATTTTCTATAATTTTGAGGGAAAACTTAGGAGAGATTAAAAGGAGTTTGGAATTTGAATCAATCAAATTGGAGACCGTTTGGTTAGTAACGCTACTACAAAGAAGTATTAAGTTTTTGCCTAAATACTTAATAAGAGAAAGTGCAAGAGGAAGATAAGCACGAGGGGTTGGGGAGTGGAATCTCGAACGATAACGTAGATCAACCGGCAACAAAGGAGGGGGTTTCTTTTCAAGGTGAGTGTAAAGGGGTAAAATCTCCATCGATGTCTTTTTAGTTTATGCTTTTACTTATAGTAGTTTCGTTAAATGTTGAGTTATGCGCGTTTATTTATTTGAGGCATCCCACCGCCTACTTAAGGTGGAGGCACGCGTTGTGCTATGTATGTGATGTATGTTTGTATGGTAAGATGAACCCCCGGGCAGTTGGGCCACTACTGGCAGATGCCAGGTCTTATGGTCTACTAAAAATCTCATTATTTTTGGGCTTAGACTACTAAGGCTGATCAACTTTTTTGGCCATATCTCATTCATTCAACCTCAAAACCGACTCCTATATGATCCCATACCATCATATTCTCATCATCTTTCATGCCATGACCAGATCTACAATGAATTGGCCTGAAATATCCAAAAATTACCCAAGAAGTCATCAAATGCATAAAAACACACTTAGAGACTATCAATCACACATGTAAGAAAATATCAAGCAAATCCAAGTTAAAATGGCTAAAGATGTGAAGAAATGATACACAACATGCCAAATGAAGTGATAAAAATGTATATTTTACGTGTCAATAAATTATCTCACACTTAAACTTTGTTTATCTCTAAACAAACCATACTTAAAATCATACAACTTACTACACCTCTATGATGACCTGTAACTTTCAATTGTAGCTAGTGGATCGTAAGTAGCTTACAAGCTCCACTCTCACACTTAGAGAACCAGGTCATGTCAGTGAGGCTATCAATTAGACATTCGAGCTAATATCAAGCAAAATCCAAGTTAAAATGACTACATATATGAATAAATGATGTAGAGCATGTCATAAAATGAGGTGATAAATTATGTGTCTTCATCAACATTATTATTAGTAGTTATGAGAATACCTTTAACATCCAATGCTATTATTAATGATTTTGGAATTATTCTCATCATTATCAATGTTATTATTAGTGGTTATGAAATTAGTTTGAACGATTTGAAAATGGCGAGAGGGGGAGTTGAGGAGTCCGCGAAAAATAGTTTCCTTTTTTATTAAGTAAATTAAATATGCATTTAGAATATCAGGATTTTCCGTTTATGCTTTTGTCCTTTCCTGTTTCTTGATCGATCTAATAACTAATATTGATTTAAGAAACTCCTTACGATATTGGTGTACGGACATGATCATCTGCCCAATAATGAAGCTAAAAAAGTAAAGGCTAGCGACTCTTCTCTTTTGAGAAAAGTCAAAGTATACCATCTCCCTCAATCCTCATACATCACTTCTATCTCTAGTAGCTTGCTCTACATTATACTTACTTACACACCATGCATGTTGTTAAAGTTGTTTTAGTTTGTGTTTATGGTTGTCTACCTTTGATTTATCTTCGAACAAATGCTATTTAAGTAACATTTGTGGTCCAACTATTTTTCTTGTGGTCTTAGACCAAAACACAGTTGACATATTGTCAAACACAAAGTGTTTTTTTTAAGGGCAAATACAATATAATATCCATAACTATTATGGATCGGGGATTTATATTCTCAACTATCAATATACAAATTAATATCCAATCGTTAATTGTTCGTTAATACCCCGTTAGTAGGTCTTTCTGCAATGCTGACCTGGCCAAAAAAAACTGAGGTGGAATTGAGAACGTGGCATCCCTGTGGAATTGATTAAGTAAATAATAACATAAAACGTAAAAAATAAAACAAATAGGGCCAATACAATATAATATCCATAACTATTATGGATTGGGGATTTATATCCTCAACTATCAATATACAAATTAATATCCAATCGTTAATTGTCCGTTAATACCCCGTTAGTAGGTCTTTCTGCAATGCTGACCTGGCAAAAAAACCTGAGGTGGAATTGAGAACGTGGCATCCCTGTGGAATTGATTAAGTAAATAATAACATAAAACGTAAAAAATAAAACAAATATACCCCTCCCCTCCTCTCACATCCATTCACCCAATTCTTATCCTCAACCCCTTCTTCTCTCATCTGTCCATCTCCCCCTTCGTCTGCAAAGACACGAAGTCGCTGACGAGGATCCACTCACCGTCCTGCAGGCGTGGCGGCGAGACTGCCGTTGCTTGAGTCCCTCCTACCAAAAACTCCAATCCCTCTTCTTTCACCCATCGGAAGTAACAAAACAAACCCACCATCGTCAATCCAAATCCCCAATCTTCGATCCAGGTCTGGAGAGCTCATCGTCGACAAGAAGCCACCACTGCCTCGGAGAACGCACCGGGGACTCCCCGGTATGCGACTCGGAGCTGCGCTCTGTGCATCAGAGCTGGAGCGAGGTCGGTGATAGTCAACACCTTCTGCAGTCGACGGTAGTCGCAGTACCGTAGGTCGGGACCAAATCCAGGTCAATAGTCTTGTGACCGTTGACCGAATCTATGAAATCGAGTCCATTTTCTCTTCCAGATCTAGGCTGCTCCTGAGTGGCGACTTTGCTGGAGAGGATGGCGCATGAGCTCTACCAGTCGGATCTGCTGCGGACGACGCCAGCGGGGCAGTTGATGGAGTCGTAGGAGCGGTGGAAGCAGTGGACGACGAGTGGTGCTGCCACGGCGGAGGGACGGCTAATCCCGATTAACGAGGAGTTGAGAGACGACAGGGGCTGGGTAGGACGGAAGAAGCTAGGTGACGGTGGAGGAAGATAGGGGAAGAAGAAGAGGGAGACAGGGGACGGTGGACGAAGATAGGGGAAGAAGAAGAAGAGGGAGACAGGGGAGGGCGGAGTAAGCAAGGTGACGGTGGAGGAAGATAGGGGGAAAAAGAGGGGAGAGTGGTTGAGTTTGTTTTTCAACTTTAATTTTCTAATTTTTTTTAATTTAAAAATAAAAATGATATATTTAATTATTCGTTGATGTGGACGCCAATATGGATGCTGACATGGCAGTCTCCGTTACAAATTTAACGGTGGTAACAGACTGTTAGCCATATCATGACCCGCAACTATAGTTATGGATATTAATTTGTATATTGATAGTTGAGGATATAAATTCCCGATCCATAATAGTTATGGATATTATATTGTATTTGCCCTTTTTTAAAGGGATTTTTCCAGAAATAGCACTGTTTTAATTTTTTTTCCAAAAATAGCACCTAAGTCCGAAAAATTCCAAAAATAGCACCCTTTCCCAAAAACCGCTCCCTAGCAGTGCGGTTTAGGCGAAAACCGCCACCCAGGGGCCCGTTTTTCGATGAAAACCGCACCCCTAGGGGGCGGTTTTGCAGATCGCACCCCCACCATGCGGTTTGGTTGCAGATCGCACCCCCATCATGCGATCTGCTTTCTTTTTTTTTTTTTGAAAATCCTAACCTAGGTGGAAACTTCAAACGAACATATCTTTGTGTTCGGGTATCAGATCGTCGCGATTTTTTTTGATTCTGCATAACTTTTTGAGATCTTGCAAGCCGAAGACTTCCGAAGGTGGTTTGATCTCGCCTTCGTCCCAAAAAATGTTGTTTGCTACCCCGCACGAGCTTATTTCCGATTTCGTCAAACTTTGGACAACCATAACTTTGTGCTCCAAAATCCAAACGACATGAATTTTTTTTTTCGCATAAATTTTTAAGGAATACAACTTTTATCATAGACATAATTTCATGGTGGGGGTGCGGTCTGCAACCAAACCGCATGGTGGGAAATTCTGTTTGTAGATAGGACAGCCAATTCTAAAAGAAAAAAGACTACTGAATTTGAATCTTACGATTATTACGAACCCATGAAATAAAGCGATTAAAATGAGGATGAGAAGGAATTATAAATCTACCTGCTTCAGAAGTTGCACTAGATTATGCTTCTTTGCATTCAAAATTTCCAACTTCTACTCAACCTCTTTCTTCCTTTTTGCCTTTTCACCTGACAGCTCAGGTTTTTCGTTTTCCTATGGAGAAACATATGAAACCAGAGTTCATCATCAGATAAAGAAATATTGTAGAGGAAAAAACTAAAGATCATTGAAAAGGGGCAGTAGACATTAACAATTTCAAGAAACCTCCTAACTGCAGCTAAAGGGATTCTGATATAAACTTAAATGGCCAAAAGTTCCAATGTGGAACATTGACTCTAAGACGACTTCCGCATCTATCAGCTGCGATTCGACTCCTAACGTTTTAAATACAATAAACACCAAGAAGATGAGTTTCTAGTATCACTTGTTAAGTTGTAACAGGTACAGGGCCAGTGCCGGCAGGGTTGTGTACGGGCTCGGGTCTTTTGTCTATGCCTACGACCAGGAGATTGCGGCCCGCAAGGGGAAGGCCAGGATGCCACAGGTTATGACGCCGATGGGCCTTCAATGAATGTTGGGCCAGAGATGGTGGGCCACTATGCGAAAGGCGCCAATGGGATAGGATGGTTGGACATGGATGCTGAGCCCGAAGATGATGAGTTCAGCATGGCGGATCCACAAACGCAGTGGACCGGACCGGAGGTGGACCAGAGAGGGCCCGGTGGGCCGGGGAGGGCTGCCGACATTGCTGGGCTGATCGTAGTGAGTGCGGCCGAGGCGGCTCGGACCGGTACAGGGCGGGTTGATGCTGGGCGAATCGATGTGAACCGGACCGGGTCAAGTCGGGCAGGAATGGGTCGGCCCGAGGTGGGTCGAACCGGGCATCGTCCGAGCCCTTCCAATCAGCAACCGAGAAGGGTGGACAGTAGGGGACCAGCTTGTTTGGAGGGTCCGCATGGGACACCCCATGTTCCGGGCGGGTACCAGGGCCCGCCAGGCAGCTACCCGGGGGACTACGGGCATGAGAATCTGAGCCGGGCGCTGGAAAACATGTACGGGCAGCCATGGAGGACACCGGGTCGACAGGTATGGCTCATATGGTATTAACTATGAAGGAGCTGATGGAGTGGTTTTTCGCGCCAAGCCTCCTACCATTGAGTTTCCAAAATTCAATGGGCAAGAGGATGCAGGTCTTTGGTTGTATGCAACTGAGAGGTGGTTTAGAAACCATCCGATTCTCGAGGAGAGAAAGGCATATCTGGCGACGTTTTATTTGGAGGGTGATGCACTCCAGTGGTGGGAGTGGATGGAGAGATCATATGCAGCGACCGAGACTTTGATTACCTGGCCCATGTTTCAGGAGGAGCTCCGATACCAGTTCGGGAAGTCAGAAGGGTGGGCCCCTGAGCAGTTGGCCAAGCTGAAGCAGACCGGCACTATGGCCGATTACCGGGCTGAGTTCTTCAAGCTGGGGAACCAGTGCAAGGGAGTTCCGGAGGACACGGTGGTGGGGCTGTGCATGGCGAGCCTCAAGCCCGAGATAGCAGCAGCGATCAGAGTATTTGAGCCAGATTCCTTGAAAGATGCTTTTCGTCTTGCATGTCACAAAGAGGAGGAAATCGCCAGCTAGAGGAACTTCATAGGCGTTACCCGAAGTCGAGTGGAGGTGGAGGAAGCAGTGGGGCCGGTGGTAGCAGTGGAGGAACGCCGGTGAGAAATGCAGCGGGAGCTAATGCCGGAGGCGGGGGCACGGCGCCGGTGGCCAAGATGGGACCGCGAGAGATACCAAAAGAGTTCGTGCGACTGTCTCCGGCCAAGATCGAGCAGAAGAAGCGGGAGGGCAAGTGCTTCAATTGTGATGGCCGGTTCACCATCGGTCATCAATGCCCAAAGCCGGATCTGATGGTGTTAGTCGGGCGCTGGGAAGATGAAGAAGATAAGGCCGAGGACATCGGAAATGGCAAGGAGGAGACCCAGTGAGCTAGAGGAACATCCTTGGGAACAAGGTTGTTTTTCGAAGAAAACAGGGATGATAAAAACTTGCATTCTTAGTACTTTGATTAATTGTCGGTTATTTAATATTTCGGATTATTTGGGCTGTTTAGGGAAGATAGTGATAAGTAGGGTAGTAGTCGGTAATTGTTCATTTCTATATATACTGCTTGTAAGTGGAATTAGAGATCAAGCAAAGTTTAAAACCCTAAATCCTAATTTTCTTACTCTCTCTCTCTTTCCTCCCAACTTAGTCGACTCCCTTCCTCTCTTTTTCCCCTCTCCCTCGACAGAACCTGCTGCCCTCCTCTCTTCTCCCTCTTCCCCGAGCAACCAACTTCCCTTCCCTCCTTTTTCTTCTTCCGTCCCAAGCAGCAAACCCCTTCCCTTCCCTCCTTCTTATTCCGTCCCCAAGCAATTTCCCCCCACCCCGTTATTCTTCCCCGTCACACCAACCCCCTTCATTCCCCCACTTTTGTGATACAGGGAGATTAATCCCTAATTGATCCCATCAATCCCAATCGCTAAATAGAACCCTAATCACCAGGTTCTATCAGAAAACGAAGTCCTCCAAAAGGTAGTTAACACAACAAGTACTAGAACTGAAACCATGTTTGAACAGCGTTAAAAAGACTTCCATAATTTAAAGATATCCAAGTACTCATTCGAAAGACACAGAGAGAAGTAGAGGTCATCAAACTTAACAAGAAAGACAGAAACCGCAACAATTTCATTGTGCAAGAATATTAAACCACCACAGTGATGGTTCATCAATGAATAACAAGAGTGTGCACATCTCTCGTCAATGTTGTTTACAGGAGCAACCACAGACGAGTATTACCTATCACAGCTAGCTACAACACAAGGTGCACAAATATACTCAAATGGGTTTCAGTACTACAAATATTTAGCACTGCAGTTGACAACATCAATGATTTTATGAATGGAATTAATGAATACAGGTTAAATTGATATACATGGAAGAATGATGACGAGGAGAGGAGACAAACCTGATGATTGTTGGATATCTAGTTGTCTACCTCAAGAAGACTGGCTGGAAAACAAGGCCCCTGAATGGGCTGTGTATCAATAGTACCACCAGAAGTTCTAGTGCTACAGGATGAGAATCAGCCAAGGAGGATGAAACATTGTAGTTACCTGGATAACTGCTAAAGACTCAGAATTCCAGCAGTTCATGCATAAAGAGCTAAGATGTCGAGATAGATCTAGTTCCAAAGGCTAGGTTGGCGAGCATCCCGAAATGCTGAGGTGCCACCAGATGCTATGGGAGAAGGAGAAGATGGAGCGTAATTTGTCCCAGATATGGATATTGTGGGTGGTGCGTTTGCTGGATGATTTTGTTGCCCTGTTGGTGCAAACCGTGATGGGCTGGCTCCCAAACTTGTTCGCGATGGGAAGGGTGGAACCTATGAAGGTGACAAAACAAGAAGATGAGTCTCACCAAACGTTGTTTTTCAGACAAAAGAATTGAACAAAGAGACGACCGGAAAACACGGAAATGGGTTTCCAGTCCCTCCCCACCAATACTAATTCAGAAGACAAAACAGTAACAAATATTTACAAATAAGGGAAACAACAGCAAATAAAAGTATCCACATCCTCATTTTTTCCTGTACAAGGCTAAAGGATTGCCTTCATCACAAGTCTTATATACTGTGTTACGATCACCTCATATTGATAAAAATTCCAGAGAACAATTTGAAATTGAAATCAAGAAAAAAATTCTGGTCATAAAAACAGAAAGGCATGAATATTCTTTCGGTTAAAACGCCGTGCGACTCGGAGGATTTGAAGAATAACTCCAAAAGCTAGATATATACAAGTCAAACTCTTACTTTAGCCATCTGAAACTTGTCAATTCTTAGCAATCAGCCTGTCAGCCAGTCTGGCCTAAAACTCTTGTCACCTAATGGATGCAGCTAATACAAATCCCTATGACCTAATTTCGTTCATAAGTTGGGACAGACGCAACCTTATATTGCCAAGTCTTCTTAGTAACGACAAAAAAAATAAGGCAATTCCAGGCAAGGGTAAAAAGCAAAAAGCAATTGTAAGACTTTGGGCTCTTCATCAATGTGATCGCAATATGCAGGAAAAATGTTACTTACCGCATTGTGGGTAGGTCTTCTAAGGGGAGACTCTGAACATGGAGAAGTACTGCTCATTCTTTGTAAATTACGAGAATGAACATTTTGATTTGAAACATCTTCAGTTTCAGCTTCTTCCATATCTGCACCAAGATTAGCCTCTGACCCCATCCTAGGAGTGACTTGTCTGATCATTGACCCAGAATCATTTGTGACGTCTACTTGAAGCGGACCAGACGGACGAGTTGTCATCGTCTGCACAGTGCTTCGTCTCTTTAGCTCGTCCTCGGCATTTAATAGCTGTCGAGGGAGAGCAAATATTTCATACTGATCTCGTGAAAATAGGTGATGAAGCCAGAGGTTAGAATGTGTTAAACAGGAAATCTAGTAGAAGTTCCTAAAGTTCCTCATCCACTTTCTTTCATTTCCCGCCAATCCCGGTGGATCCAAATCCAATAATGTAGGAAATTCTGTTTGTAGATAGGACAGCCAATTCTAAAAGAAAAAAGACTACTGAATTTGAATCTTACGATTATTACGAACCCATGAAATAAAGCGATTAAAATGAGGATGAGAAGGAATTATAAATCTACCTGCTTCAGAAGTTGCACTAGATTATGCTTCTTTGCATTCAAACTTTCCAACTTCTCCTCAACCTCTTTCTTCCTTTTTGCCTTTTCACCTGACAGCTCAGGTTTTTCGTTTTCCTATGGAGAAACATATGAAACCAGAGTTCATCATCAGATAAAGAAATATTGTAGAGGAAAAAACTAAAGATCATTGAAAAGGGGCAGTAGACATTAACAATTTCAAGAAACCTCCTAACTGCAGCTAAAGGGATTCTGATATAAACTTAAATGGCCAAAAGTTCCAATGTGGAACATTGACTCTAAGACGACTTCCGCATCTATCAGCTGCGATTCGACTCCTAACGTTTTAAATACAATAAACACCAAGAAGATGAGTTTCTAGTATCACTTGTTAAGTTGTAACATAGTCAGACAACCGTAAACGATCCTAGAAAGTCTGAATCCAACCAAGGGAGATTACCATAGCACTCGTTCTGGGTTTACAGGTGTCTAATTTTCTGTCAATAGAATCAACCTGCATTTAACAAGAATGACGAGTGACACAAACCGTTGTCGCTGATACTAGTTCCTTCAAAATCCTTATATAGAGGAAGCCCAACTAATACTGCAAACGGCCCCTAACCATCAATGACGTTCATGAGAACAATGGTCATGCAGCAAATTGCATCAAAAAGCTTCAGAAGCTTAACAATCTATCCCAAAAAAAAAAACAATCTATCACTGCACAACTAAACTCCACAACTAGAAATGGAAGAATATGTAGCCTAGTTACCAACTTGAAACACATCATAAACACTTCCAAACAAATGATATCGCCAAAACAGTCAAAATTCTTCAACATGAGAACCTCCGCACTAGGTTCAGCCGATTCTTCCAGCTTCACGGCGAACAAAGCCTGCAAATCTCCATCACCATTAACAACCTCAACTCGGCATTTCTCAGCTACTTCAGGATTCTCAACAGGCGCATCATCCAGCTTCATCGAGCAATCTCCACCATTCAACAAGCCCCGGTCCTCTTCAGCACCTTCTCCAACCCTCCCGGAAGGCCCTTCTTCCTCATCGCCACGATGATTCGTATCATCAACAGCTTTCATCTCCTTCAACTGAGGCGTAATAGGATCCCCAGCTTCCTTGGAATCGTGTTTGGTAGAAATGGTAAGGTCAGGGTTAGGGTTAGAGGTAGTACCGGCGGCGACAAGGACAGTGGAGGAGGAGCGGAGGTGAGAGAGAGCCCTGGAGCGACGGTTGAGGAGGGATTTGAAGTCCCTGAGAGAGAGGTTTCGGGTGGGCATCAGCCATCGACGAGGGGCATCGGGGACTCGGTGGAGATTCCCCCTGTAAAGCGAAATCGCCACCATGTCTTCCAGTGCTTCGACCTTGATTTTGCTTTTCAAGCTTCTTCTTCTCTTATTGCTCGGCGGTTGAGAAACGAACCCTCCCCCTGCCCTGCCGAAGTATCGGAGTCGGGAATTTGGTCTGTCAGTCACGTGTTTCGTCAATCGCCAAAAATCGGATACTCGGTAGTCGGAACTCGGAACGACATGTCCTCGACTTTGAGACCGTTTCATAAAACGACGCAGCTCTGGGTCGTGAGTTGAGTTGTGCAGTGTCTGCCTAATTATTCATTTACTAAAAACTATAACGGGCCATGATGGAACCGGCCCAACAACCTTGAACCCAAACCAAACTACAACGGACCATCAAGCCCACCCTGGAACCACGAATCTGAACGGTGACCTCCCTGAGGCCGCGCTTTGTCCCATGCTCTTTGGGCTTGCCTTGGAAAAAATCCAATTGTGCATATAATGTATATATCTAATATGATCAATGATCATCCATATATTATTATTATTTACATAATATACTTCAAATATTTCTTTTTATGATTAATGCATTGATGTATGGTCGATGGTGGTTAGTGTGAGAGAACTAGACGGTGTTGGTGGAGAAGAAAAAGATGCGTAATTTTGCAAATTCTAGGGAAAATAAGTAAAACTGACCCAAACATTTGAATCGTAAAATCGTAAGATTTTAAATATTTTAAAGATTTAAATCGTAAATAGTGCAAGATTTTAAGGTCTATAGATTTTATAGTGAAATCAGGATCAAAATATGTAGTAAAATCGTAGGAGTTTAAGATTTAAATAGAGATTTTGACTGCTTTGCAATGTTTTCACACTTCATTAATAAAAGAGAAATTTAAAACTAAGGCAATGGAAGAGATACCTTGCCATGTGGTAACTAAGTGACAACCGCACATATGGTTGATGGAGTGGAGTGTCTAGCAAACTTTCATAACATCGTCAATGTTTTGTTTGTGGTTGGATTGTGAGGAATTTGATGGATGTATGAAGCCACAATGACAATGAGAGTAAGAATCCTAACCAAACATGGTAAGAACACGATATGGCATGGTCACCGAATTAATAGAGGTCATAAGTAAGGATAAATCGTATAACTGTCCGTTAACCGAATGTACATAGGAGAAGAATTCCCCTTCCTTTAGGTGGCGACGAGATGGACGATTAGCGAGACATAAAAACAAATTCCTCCTCGACATCTTCTGAATCAATTATGTTAGTGGAGGGCAAGCTTGCCCAATGTGAGCAGGCCAAACAAGTGGGAGAACCAAGTATTCTAGGTCTTAGTTGAGTGTGGTACGTGGTCACCGGAGGCTTGGTAAAAGAAAATGAGAGGTAATGTTATTATGTTGAATTTGCTGCCGAGTGTTATCAGGAAGGAACAAAAAGATGATTTGTTCATTATCACTTGGGATTGTGCGAGCTAGGTGTGACAAGGAACCAGAAACAAAAATCTTTCCAAGATTTACAAGTTAGCACTTGAGTTACAATCAATCTTTTATTACGTGGTTTTGGATTAAGCCAAGATGCGACCACGATGTGGTTGATGGGTTTGGTTTGGGTGCCCTAAGGAAGTTGATACTTAATTTAAGTGTTCTAGTTGGTGTCTACAACTTAGTATATAATACTTATACACTAAGTTGTGGGGCATTTGTTTGCTCATAAAACATTAATTTCTACCACATTGATTAATTACAAGAAACTTAATGACTTTATAAGACCACCTCAATATTAGATATTATATGAGCTAGTTGTGCCTTATTCGGTTTGCCTTTTGGACCCAAGTGGCCAAGCTCCCTGTTTGTGTCTAGATGGCCAACTGCCCCCATGGCCTACATAACCGACGCCTCCTCTCCTTGTAACAAACCAATTGGTATGAAATATGGCTCTTAAAAAGTAAGTCTGGAAACAAAGCATGCTTGGTAGCTAGCCAAGAGGTTACCAAGCCGACAAGGCATGCTTGGTACCAAGACATGAAATTTGCCCAATCAGCACAATACACTTAAAAAAATTGATTTTTTCCACCTATTACCATTTATCTCTTTGATTATTTTTCTTTTTCTTTTTATATTTAATTTTAACTTAATTAAAATAATGAGATTGTGTGTCTATTTTGAATTTTTCAACTTTTTTTATGCTGACTGGGTGGTGATGTGGTGCGTTGACCGTTAGTCAACACGATTGACCGTCCAAGTTAACGGTCAAACGTCGGGTTTGGCCATTTTAGTGATTTTGATGAATAGTTTGGCCAGGATGTTATAGATCGAAAAGATTGGTCAGGATGTTATAGATCAAAAAGATTGGCCAGGATGTTTATTTTGGTCAAAGTTCAGGCCATACAAATATATTAACCCTTGTTTTAAAGAGGTGAACCAAAAATTGTATGTTATTTCATCACGTCAAATCTCTATCACTCGAGTTTGAGTTGAATCGATATTATACACTTCAGTTGTTGTACTCCCTAGAATTCTTCGTCACATTGTTGGTATTCGTCAAATAAAACATCTTCATCATAATGGATAATCGTGTGTATTAGATATATCAACAAATAATCAAACACAAGTTCAACTAAAAACAATAATAATCAAACACACAACATATTCGGCAGACTCCATCCAATCCCATTACCATTCCATCATCAATATATGGCCAAAAAATCAGAGGATTAACAAGTAAAACTTAAAAAAGGAATTCAACTTATGTAAAACATCAAATCATTTCAAATTAAATAAGTGAACATGCAATAGAGGGAGCATCGTACGGGGTTAGGCTATTAATTTGTAAGCCTCTGGTCGTTCAAGACCATAATGCATATGAAAAAATACAAACATAAAATTGGGTGGTTGGGGGCTCCAATAGCATGTCTCGTTAATGAGTCATATGGGAAACAGGGGGAACCAGTCCCTTTCCTTTTCAGAAAGCAAAAAATTTCCATTTCCCACAACTGCCCCATTTTGCTACTTTTCCAATTCCCCAAACAAAATCAGAGAAAAAAGGAAATGAATACTAAACACGTTTTTTGGTTTTCATTCCCAAAAAAAAGGAAATGGCAAGAGAAAACGGGAATGGGAATGATAACTAAACAGGGCATTAGGGTTGGGGAATGACATGGCTACTGCAATAGGTTCATAGAATGTATGCTTATAAATATGTATGTGTGTTTGGAGGTCTTGGTGGGCTTAACTTTTATGAACTTCCGGAGTTTGAATGTCGCCCACCAAGTGCTCGATGAAATTCTCAAACCACATCAAACTTGTTTTTCTTGATCCATTGCTTTTCAATTAAACTTTATTGACCTTGATAGACTCTTATGAGTGTGTTTATGACTTAAGATTGAATCCTTGATGCATGATTCTTGAGTTTGCAACATTAGCTCACTTTTGATTTTGTGTTTCAATATGCTTTTAGAGCCAAGAGTTCAAGCTTTGGTTATTGCCTAATGAGTTGATTCTAGCCTTCAGTCGGGGTATAGTGACTAGCTATGACACAACTCCTAGCAAAGGCCAAGTGTAACCAATGAAAGGGACTGCAATATAGTGGCTCAAGTGATAAATATCGAATCCACGGGTCTCTAGAGTTACTATTACTCAGCTTATTATTTAGCAAACAAGATTAAGATGAAAGAACTAAAACAACTCTAGCAAACTACAGTTAAAGTTAATCTAATTACAGGTTGGGAACTCACTTAGGTATGATTCCCCCTAGCCACTAGCCAGATTAACGATTGATGATTTCTAACTTGTTTCACTTTCATTCACAATGCGGAGAATCCTTGACTAGACCTTGAGTCTCGACTAAAGGAACAAGGCCCTCTTGAGTCAATTGCCTAGAGGGACGTATCCTTCTCTAGAACAACCGATCAAGGCGTTCCGAACTAGATTCCCTCTATCGAATGAGGTTCTCAATCGATACAAAGTAGTGAACCAACCCTCGACTAAAGCAATCGATCCAATACTATCAATCTATGGTGCTCTATTGACCTAATCAGGTATCCGCTCTCATAGGATCAAAGCATAATCAATAATCTTGACTAAAGCAGAATTGAATCATGAAAACATACATAGATTGAATATGAACTCAAGGTTATCAAGTCAGAGTACTCATACAATCATCCAATCAAACAAACATAGCTAGGGTTCCTCAAAACCTAAGTGAAGGGAAGTTACTGCATAGAGAAGAGAGAGACTGCAGTAAGAATCTTCAGATGATCAGTCTTCAAGTCCGGGCTTGTTCCTCGAGCTTTCAAGACGAAGAAATCCTCCAATTCCACTCTTAGAATGCCCTCAAATCACCCTCTCTCTCTCTCTCTCTCTCTCTCTCTCTCTCTCTCTCTCTTTGGTTCGTCCCTTGGGTGTTTGGGATCCAAAACCCAGCTCTCCCTCTCCTTTGGCTCGAAATTGGCCTAAAAAACCCGATTCTGGGCAAAACACGGCCGAGGACACGGCCGTGTTTTGCTTTTGCCCGCCCGTGTTTTGCCCTATGTTAAAAACACGCACGCGCGTGTCGGCCAAAACACGGTCGTGCCTAAATATGGGCACGGCCGAGTTTTTATTTAGGCGCGCCCGTGATTTTACTGTCGAACATGTTCCCCTATATTCAATGCTTCGTTTCTCCCTCATCCGGACTCCGAATCAGTCGCTGTTTGATCCCAGACGCTTGTAGTCTCATCCTCTTTCTTTTAATGATAATATTGCATGATTATTTGTCCATAAAGTGAGGTAGAAATCCATTCTTCTTCAGGTCATGCCCGAGTTTCTTCTCCCTAATCGCCAATTGATCTCTGATTGACTTGAAACTTGCGCCTATGCTTTACTTTATGTGCTAGGACCTGAAATGTGACAAAAGAACACAACCTAGCGTAAAATAGGCCAAAGACGCGATAATTAAAGCTCAAACGATCAAGAAACAAAGGAGAAAACATGTGCAAATATCGAGTCATCAAATCCCCCCACACTTAACCGTTTGCTTGTGCCCAAACAAACCTAACTCAAACCAATGCAGCTCTCCAGACCTCTATAGAAACATACAACCCCCCACAAAGTTATGCGGAAAAAAAAAATTCATGTCGTTTGGATTTTGGAGCACAAAGTTATGGTTGTCCAAAGTTTGACGAAATCGGAAATAAGCTCGTTCGGGGTAGCAAACGACATTTTTTGGGACGAAGGCGGGACCAAACCACATTCGGAAGTCTTCGGCTTGCAAGATCTCAAAAAGTTATGCGGAATAAAAAAAAATCGCGACGATCGGATATCCGAACACAAAGATACGTCCGTTTGAAGTTTCCACCTAGGTTAGGATTTTTCAAAAAAAAAAAAAAGCAGATCGCATGGTGGGGGTGCGATCTGCAACCAAACCGCATGGTGGGGGTGCGGTCTGCAACCAAACCGCATGGTGGGGGTGTGATCTGCAAAACCGCCCCCTAGGGGTGCGGTTTTCATCGAAAAACGCGCCCCTGGGTGGCGATTTTTGCCTAAACCGCACTGGTAGGGAGCGGTTTTTGGGAAAGGGTGCTATTTTTGGAATTTTTCGGACTTAGGTGCTATTTTTGGAAAAAAAAATTAAACAGTGCTATTTCTGGAAAAATCCCTTTTTTAAACGGATTTATTAAGATGAGAAATGGGGAGAGCCCAATGGAAAGAACCACATACATCAAACAACAAGGAAAAAGAGAAATTAAACAGAAGCCCAAAAAAACATAAGTCCGGAACACAACTAGCCCAGGTCATTGGGACCAACAACATGAATAATTTCTAAAAACCCTAGTTGAAAGATACAACACCTCTTTGATGCAGCCACCAACACCCACCATCCACAAACAAGGGAGGAGGAGCCTCAAAGAGACCCAAGACGGTGATACAAAAAAGCCCAACCCAGATGGAGGTCTCGTGAAAGCAAATGCAGACCCACCTGCAACTGACCTCGGTGGACCCAAAGCATTCATAATGACCACAATCTGCAAGAGAATCTTCAGAATAGAAGGACAACCAATGGTGAAGCTTAGAGGAGGGTCTATGTCTTCAAGCTCTTCAAATTGTGTCCAAGCCAAGGCCACATCTGCGAAACATCAAAATCTGCAAGGTGAAACAAGGAGGTAAACAAGGGAAAGATGAGGAGAAAACAAGCTAGATCTGGATAGATCCAACATGAATAAAGTGTGAAATCAGAGAGAAGGCAGAGCAAGGCCTTTCCTATATTTAGAGAGAGAGAGTATGATTCTAGTAAAGTTCCACAAATCAATAGATGTGCCCAAATAAAGCACATCATGACGAGTCGAAAATAGTTAATGACTTATGCTCTGAGTGTTGCGATCCTAAATGGTTGTGCATTTTCATAATACTCTTTCCCTTTTGGATCTACTAGTTAGTTTGAAAGGTTAATAACATTTTGTACCCATCTACTATAGTAAATTAACAAACGTACCCCTCTACTTTGCACAAATATACCCTTCTATTATTAAACGTAACGATTTTACTCTTCCATCTAATTTTTTGTTAAATAGCCGTTAATGGGGCTGTAAATTTACTCAATTACCCCTCCCTTACTCAAAACACTCCTAATTTTGGTTTTAATTATTTTATATCCCAATTCAATTAATTAAATAAAAATCAAACCCCTGAACCAATTCACACTCACTCGACCCCAAAGCGTCCATGTCCCCTGATAATTAATCCCTCAACTCCGTGGTCGCACCTGCTCCCGACATCTTATCGCCGAAGGTTGGAGAGAGAGAACTGATCTGCGAAACCAAACCCATGTACAGTGTTTCTTTACCTCCTTCCCGACATAAGCCGAATTCTCATAAGAGACCAAATAGCCTTCTCCCAATGCACTTTAACACTTGCAATTGCAAATTCTTGTTTACCGTCCCATATTTATTTCCCAGCATACAAAGAATAGAAAGAAGAAGAGAATTTGAAGACTCCAAAAGGCACCCAAAAGATATCAGAGAAAACCCCTTTAAAGATATGTATTTGTTTTAGCCGATAGAGATATCGTCGCTATATTTTGACAGTGGGGATCGACCGGTTAGTTTGTTGGTTCCCGCATCTCCTAGCCGGCGGGTGGAATAGAGAGAACCGATCGTCGCGGGAGAAGCTGGGAAACTGATTAAGGGTGAAGTCAGAATGTCACTTGTGAATTAGTTTAGGGTTTGATTTTTTAATTAATTGATTTTAGGTTTGATTTTTTAATTAATTGATTTTGTACAAAAAATCATTAAAATAAAATTAGGAGTGTGTAGAAGTAAATGAGGGGTAATTGGATAATTTCACAGCCTTTTAACGGTCACTTAACAGAAAATTAGATGGAAGGATAAATTTGTTACGTTTTAATATTAAAAGGATATGTTTGTGAAAAAAAATTAGTAGAGGGATACATTTATTAATTCACCATAGTAGAGGTACAAAATGCTAACCATAATTTGAAACTCATTCCTAATGGATGAAATCAATCATGACCTATATCATATACCAAAAGCATTTGACATCTCATTTGAATAATATAATTCAGATCCGGCTTAGTGTTTTCTCATCTCCGTTCGTTCTCAACTACATCTCATAACTTTGCTTCTTGTCATGTTTTCTGTATGGAACTACAATTTTATGTTGAATGTTAATTTTCCCAAGAGGTTTTAATGAATCAGAGTGAATTGTTAATGTTGGAATACACTCAAACAAAGTAATTTAAAAATGCATATGAAAAGAATCATTTATCTTGTGTTGCAAAAGAAACCGATTACAAAAGACAATTAATCAACATGCCATTTGGAAACTATTCCTCTTAACTTAGATTAACACTAACTTTCAACCAAATAAATTTCCACCCAATTTAAACCTGAACTCCATAAAAAATACTCTTTGAAACACAACTTTACTCAAACCAGAAAAACAAACAAAGAAAGAGAGATGAAAAGAATTCATGCTCTTCTTGCCTTCACCAGTAAAAAAAAACTTCCAATATTACAAGTCACCACACCTCCACATTCACCCACAAGACTCAAGAGAGAAAGCTCCAAAGGAGTGGAGAAGAAGATTAGAGTTTGATTCCATCCTAAAGTTGCTTCACATTTAATTCACCCTCTCTTTAGCATTCCCATTACATTAAGTATTATTAACCTTTAACCCAATTCTTCCCCTGCTTTTTTTTTTACTTCATGTTCTGATACATTTTCTGTGTCTACTGTTGGTCACTCTGTTTTTAATCTCTTTTGGACCCACGAGAAGAAATGGTGAGGCCTCCCGCTTGCTGTGGCAATGCCAACCTGAGGAGGGGACTTTGGACTCCTGAAGAAGATGCCAAGATTCTTGCCTATGTTTCCAAACATGGAACTGGTAATTGGACTTCCATCCCCAAAAAAGCAGGTCAGTTTATGCCGTGAGAATTTGACTATCTTGTTGAACGCAATAAGCATAAGCATCATGCTCACACATCCCGACTCTAATGTGACTGAGATGAGATGCGAGAAAAGGATTGATGACTCTATTGTGATCACGTTTCCATTGATACTATAAATCTCTCCCTCTCTCTCTTGGTAGGATTGCGGCGATGCGGGAAGAGCTGCAGGCTTCGATGGAACAATTACCTGAGGCCTGATCTCAACCATGAAAGCTTCACACAACAAGAGGAAGAGATGATTGTCAGGCTCCATGCCGCCATTGGCAGCAGGTTCGTTTTGTCGAGCTTTTCTCCTTCAAACCCTTTCTTGGGTTACATTTTTCTTGTTATTTTCATCAGCTTTTTTCCTCTCAAAATCCCGAATTGGATCCCAAATTCACGGGTTAGTGTGAGTGTTGTTTTGTAGGTGGTCGATAATAGCACAGCAGCTTCCAGGGAGGACAGACAACGATGTGAAGAATCACTGGAACACGAAGCTGAGAAAGAAGCTCTCTGAAATGGGGATCGATCCTGTTACCCACAAGCCATTCTCCCAAATCCTAGCTGACTACGGCAACATCAATGGCGGCCTCTCCAGGCCTTCAGCAGCTTCTGCCGCGGCAACCAGATCTTCAATTGGGTCCCTCAGCAGAGACCTCAAGAACGTTGCTCATCTCTTTGTTAGCAACAACAACAACAACAACCATCCTGATCAACATCAGCAACACAATTACTCTTCCCTTCCACCTCAATCGTCGATCACAGCCGCCGCCCATTTCATGGAACAGCCAGAAGAGATTCTCCCCATTACTACGGAGTGTTTCGTTGGCAACAAGGGAGAAGGAGGAGGAGAAGAAGAGTCCATGGATCTCATGGACCAGCTCCAGGCCATAAAATTGGTGACGGAAGCGGCGGCGGCGGCGGCGGCAGCGGGAGGTGAAACCAATTACTACAATGACGATGAAGGTATGGCGGCGGTGGGAGGCTCGCCATTCCCGTCCTCTTCTTCCTCTTCCTCCACCTGCTCCACGGCCGCAGCCGCCGCGGCCGAGATGAAGAAGTCTGCTACAACAACAACTACTGCTACTACTCCACCGTTGAGCTTCAGCTGGCGGGATTTCCTCCTGGAAGACGACGATGCTGGTGGTGGTGCTCAGTTCCCGCTGGAGAATGATGGCGATCTGAACGTAAACAATGGGGAGTTTTCGTCTTCAGGGGAGAAACAGAGTTTGGCGGCGGCGGCAGGGGAAGGAGGGTTGTCGAGGGGAGTTGTCGGGGGTTCGAATTCTGGTTCTGCTGATGGTAGCGGTGGTGGGTATGCCAATATGAGTTCGTTTGTGGAAGCGATACTGAATGAAGATGAACGGCGTGACGTGTTCCTGGATTTCCCTAACCTCTTGCAGGATCCCACCTACTACCATTAATTAACTTTGCGCCTCTGTTTCTCCTCTGCATTTTCTCCTTTGTTACAATTTACAAATCGAAGGAAAGAATAAGAGTGACTTACGCTTTAACTTTAACATGGTTCAGACTTCAGATTGGAATGTGTTTGTGTTTTTTCAGCGAGCATAACTCTTGTGTTTGAACTCAATGAATGCAATTTGTCTTCTTGAACAATGATTAATAACATGGTTCATATCTTTTCGAATAATGTTCGAACAAGAATGTCTGATGTTGTTGATGATTTTTCGGGAACAAGCTACGTTAATTACACCTCCTATGCAGGTTCCGTGTGAGCTCCAAAAGCGAAAGTCTAGGACTAATTTGTAGAGAAAGGATAAATTTTGACATTGTGTGTCAAGTGTTTGGTTGTGAAACCCTTTTCTCGTCTTCATTTCTCCTATTTATAGCCACCGGTGTAACTGCCGGTAACCGCTAGCTAGCCTGTCACTCCAAATCTCCTCGGGGTCCTCATTGCTGCCTTGGTGACCGCTTGGTAATTGTCCTCTGGGTTTCTTGGCATCAGGCTTGACTGGTGTTGAGTTGAGATCCATCTTGTCGCCTCGTCTTGACTAGATGAGGTTGGGGCCTACTTGCCTTGCCTCTATCAAGTTGCTTCTTACCACTACGATTCCTTGATAGCCATGCAGACCTTATAGTTAGCCACCATGTTGCTCTCATGTTGGTACCACCCTCCATCTTGTCACCTTTCCATGACCAGTCTTGAAGGGATGAGAACTTAGCCCCTTTACCCACAAAGACTCCACACTTAGTCTTGGAAGGCTTGACATGGTATCATCTTGTCGGCTTGTTACTTGCTACCAAGCTACTTGTAACTTCTTCCACTTTGGGGTTCGATACTTTGCCTCGTCATCTTGCCAGCCAACTTAATACCATATCGCCTGCTACCAAGCTATATTGTGAGCCCGATACCCTATTACCTGCCTGGCTACCAATCCTGTCTCATTGCCTTGTTATCCCCTGCTACCAAGCCAACCCTACTGGCCTGGTCTTCATACTAAGTTTTTAAAAAAATCTCATCAAGTTGGTTTTTTTTTTTGTGATGAAGGTGAAATTTATTAATAGAATCCAAAACGTCAAAAGAACAACAGACAAGGAAAAGAGGAAGAGAGGTGGATCAAAAAGGCTTGATCCCAGACCCGAAACAAGGAAACAAAAGGCGAACAAAAAGAAAAGCAGAAGAGCTGCTAGGAGGACCAGACCTCCTCTACAGCCAACGAGAAGAAAAAACAACTCCAAAAACAAACAACACGAAAGGACGAACCGAGCGCCCAAGAGTGGTGAAGCCCCCGAGCACACTAACAGAAAAATCAAGCTCAACCCGAGACCAAATGGAAACCACCTGGCCCACGCGGGGTAGGCGAACAGGTCCCAAGCCAAAGCCACAACAGAAGAACACACAGCTGCTAAAGGAGGAGAAGAGAGCAGGACCCAAGCCAACACGCTTAGTGCCTACCCAACAACTCCTCAAGACTCCTCTTGCCCTGCTCTTTGTCCACTTTGCCACCTGCAACCGCCCACTCCACAACGTCCCTGAGAACTTTCCGAGCCACAAACTTGGGCTGAAGACGGGCCTCCCTGAAAATTCTGCTGTTACGTTCAAGCCAAACCTGCCAACACACAGCATGCATCGCACCATAACGAATCCAACTCGCCACATTATCATCACACTCAGTGGGCCACCTGGAGATAACTTGGGTAATTTCTTTAGCCATGGGCACGGCCATCCCACAAGAAATCCTCGTCCTATCCCACACCTCCTTGATGAAGTCACACCGCACAAGTAGATGATCAACCGTCTCCTCTTCCTTGTTACACAATTCACACCTATTTGCAAGAGACATCCCCCTTTTTTTAAGATTATCGATCGTGAGGATGCTCTTATGAGCCACACGCCACATAAAGGAGCATATTTTGGTTGGAACAATCGGCCTCCAAACTGAATCAGCAGGGAAATTCTCGATACCTCTGAACGACTCCCCCGCAAGGTACCTGTACATAGATCGAACAGAAAACGAGCACTCCTGGTTTGGAAACCATACAGGCCTAGGGGGCCCACATGACACACGACCAGAACCACTAGAAATAAGCAAACTCAACAACTCGGATCTCTCCCTCTCAGCCCCCCCTCTAAGGTTAGTAGATAAAGGAATTTGCCAAGAAACGGACTCACCTGAGAGGGACAAGGCATCAAGAATCCTGGCGTCCGGAGCGCTCGCAGCGGCAGCAACTCTAGGAAAAGCATCAGCTAGCACCACGCCAGGGATCCAACTGTCATACCACAAAGAAACCCAAGCTCCATTTCCTGGATCAACCCCAGCCATACTCCAGAAAGTGTCATACTCTTTAGAGATGTTAGCCCAAACCGATCCGGCAAAGCCTTGTCTGCTCCTCTCAGTGCACCAATCTGAATGCTGGTTTGGGTACTTAACATTAATCAAATTTCTCCACCAGCTTCCTCTTTCCGTAGCGAAACGCCAAAGCCACTTCCCCAGCATGGCCTTATTAAAGCACACCATATCCAAAATCCCAAGTCCCCCTTGAGAAACTGGGGCTTTACATACATCCCAATTAACCAAAGACATCTTACGAGTTTCTCCTGTACCGCTCCAAAAGAACCTTCTCTGTATACTTTCCAGCCTTTTCGTAACTGTGATAAGGGCCTTGAAGAGAGAAAAGTAGTAAACAGGTTGACTGGAAAGAACGGCTTTTAAAAGAGTCAATCTGCCTCCAATAGATAAATGCCTCCCTTTCCATCCTTCCAGTCTCTTCTGGTACTTGTCAACGATTGGGTCCCAAAGAGAAACAACATTAGGTTTGGCCCCAAGAGGAAAGCCTAAATACCTTGAAGCATCATTGCTCCATTTGCATCCGAAGATAGATGCAAAGAAATCCGGATTGGGAACGTCTCCCACTGTGAACATGACCGATTTATCCAGATTAATCCTGAGACCCGTGACGGCTTGGAAACACACAATGATGGCAAGAATGTTTATAACCTGGTCATAAGCCGCATCACAGAAGATCAAAGTATCGTCTGCAAAGAGTAAATGAGTGACCTCCCCACTTCCTTCAGCCTCGTTCATACAAAAACCGGCAATCTTTCCACTTTCCCGAATCTTGCAAATCATGAAAGACAGCACATCCATGACTAAGGTAAAGAGTCCCGGCGACAAAGGATCTCCTTGTCTCAAGCCTTTCTGTGCATCAAAATAACCTTTGGATTCTCCATTAATAAGCACTGAGAGCTTCGGATTACACATGGTACCCTTGATCCACTTAACCCATTTCTCGGAAAAGCCCATATTGGAGAGGATTCTGAACAAACAATTCCAATTGACATTATCGAAGGCTTTCTCAATATCCAGCTTAAACATCAACCCCGGCTTTCTGCTTTTCTTCCGACTGTCCACAAGCTCAAAGGCGATTAGACCAGCATCTCCAATCTGTCTGCCCTTAACTGAAGCATGCTGATTCTGAGAAACCAAATTAGGAAGAACGGTAGCGAGCCTTCTAGAAAGGACTTTGCTCACCAGTTTGTTAAAGCTACCCATCAGACTGATCGGTCTCAAGTCACTGACATTTTCCACCACATCCTTCTTCGGAACCAAGCAGATGAAAGAGTGAGTGACGTTATTGGGCAAGAAACCCGAGCAGTAGAATTCCCCAAACGCAGAGTTGATATCCGCCTTTAACCAATTCCAGCATTTTTTATAAAATTCCCATGTAAATCCATCAGGCCCAGGAGCTTTATCACCATCACAATCACACAAGCTAGCCCAAATTTCGAGCTCAGAAAAAGGCATATCAAGCGCCCACTGCTCCGACTCACTAATCCTTCGAACACTGATATTTCCAGGGAAAGGCCGAACTTGTATCTGCTCCTTAAACAGACCAGCATAAAATTCAACAATACTCACAGCCACAGAATCCCTCCCTTCAATCAAGCTCCCATTGATTGTAATACTGCAGATCCGATTGACCTTTCTTCTGTAATTAGCAACTCTGTGGAAATAACCAGAGTTTTTATCTCCCTTTTTTAACCATAACTCCCTGGACTTCTGCCTCCACGAAATTTCCAGCAAATCAAGCACTCTTCCAATTTCAACCGGGAGACAGTTTTTTTTGGAAATCTCTTCAACAGATAGAGGACGAGTCTCCTCCTGCATATTGATTTCCTGGACTTCAGCAGAAAGCTCTTCAAGCTTATTATTCATGTCACCAAATACCTCCTTGTTCCAAACCTTGATGCGGTCTTTGAGACTATGCAGTCTACGTGCAAATCGAAACGCCGCCCCCCGACCTTGAATCTGCGAAGAAATCCAATCAGACAAACCTTCGTAAAACCTTGCATCTTCCAGCCACATATTTTCGAACTTCCACGGCCTATGCACCCTGATGTTCTCACCCCTGAGGTACTCGAGGTAACTCCCAATCCTAGGTCTAACATGCAAATGACTAACTATGTTGGGTTTATCGAATATAGTTCCTTCTTCGTTATCCCACACCTCCGAGTACATGCCCCCAAGACCCATTGTAACCTCAGTCAAGGCTAATATATCAGGGGCATTACAAATTTAGCTCATTTTAATATATTCTCACTATCGTGCATACTAAAGAGACAAATTGATACACACTTGCATTCCTCTAAAACATCATCTAGGAAGGTGTTCTCGTAGAAGGGGTACGATTGTCTCATCCACTACAAGACCCTAAAATCATTTATCTTACCTTAATCCACCAGCTGGCACTACCTAGTATAACTTTAAAACTCCTACCCATTGTTGGCTCATCATAGGCTAGTAGAGAAGAGTTGGGCGACTTACCCAAACATAATTAAGCATATTCATTCATAAACCCGAGCATAAAGAACTCTAGAGTTTGGGGGTTGAAATTTAAACCCCTAGTACCTTGAGAGATTACTCCATGAGGGGGGGGGGAGACATACAAAGAGGGAAAGAAATCATGAAGAAGGGGTCTTCAATTGGTGGAAGTTCTCCTCCACTTCTTCTCAAAGATTCTACTTCTCTCTCTAATCTCTCTCTAGAACCAAAAATCCGCCAAAATCCATCTTCTTAAGGGGGAGGAGTCCTCTATTTGTAGAGTTTCCAAATACGGGCAAGTTTACGACCATGCTGGGAAAGTTCAAGGGCGCAATATTGAAGGAGGAGGTTGCGATCTGCATCCGCTGCCGTTTTGATCTTACTCCAAGGGGAGGATCATTGGGTGACTTCACAATTTCATTTCGTGAGTCACGGCCATGGTCTTTCTTGCAGGCTGGGAAGACGAGGATCGCGAGTCGACAAGCCAAATCCTCTACTTCTCTCGTGTTGGC